AGAAGAAGAGCCAGGGGCAGAGTGCATCCTTTGGACACAGGGTCCCTGCGCTGAGAAGCTCCTATACCTAGGAGGCAGAGAGAGCTGTAACACTGGAATCAGTGCAAGACAGCAAGAAGCAGCAGGAAGCATGGCAGAGCCCAGTGACAGAAGAACAGCAGCAGCAGAACCAGGAGACTGGTGCGAGACAGGCGGTGAACTTCCTGGGCTGCAGAGTGAGGCAGCTACAGTGGGCTTGCTATCCATGGAGTGGTTAAGTGTTTGGCTGCTAACCAAAGGGTCGGCAGTTTGAATCTACCAGCCAATCCTTGAAAACCCTATGAGGCAGTTCTACTCTGTCCTATAGGGTCGCTATGAGTCGGAATCGGCTCAATGGCAACGGGTTTGTTTGTTTGTTTGTTTCTTGTTATCCTATATTAGTTTCCTATTGCTGTCCATAAAGGAGCCCGGGTGATACGATTGTTAAGCACTTGGCTGCTAACCGAAAGGTTGGCAGTTGAACTCTCCAGCAGCTCCCCAGGAGAGACCTGGCAATCTGCTCCTATAAAGATTAAAGTCTAGAAAACCCTATGAGGCAGTTCTTCTCTGTCAGCTGGGGTTGCTATGAGTTGAAATCGATTCAACGGCACTTAATAACAACAGCAACACCATCTATACTATAGTAAATCATTTCAATGACAACTAATGCTGTCAAAAGTTAAAACAAGAGGCAAAATCTCCATTCCTATATCAATTTGCAGTGAGTGTATTTTCTGAGCTCAAACTACAGTCCTAGAAGCATTTTTTTGGACCTCAATGCAAGTGTAAAGGAAATTTAACTGTGTCATTGAGGAGCTTCCACCTAAATTTCAACGGACGTGATTAATCTGCACTGTAATGACTTGCTTAAAGACAAATATCAAGAGAAGAATCTAATATAATTCTATAAGTGCCTTCCAAGTAAAGAACATGCTCAACCTTGGGCTGATGATGATCTTGATTCTCCACTCTCCTCCTGAAGTTAGATGAGGTCCGATGCCATCATTTTATAGCATTGTATATTATAGTTCATTCTTTTTCCTATAATCTATCTATATCTTTATATTTATAGTGGGCATATAATTGGGTCTTGCTTTTTAAACGCAGTTTGACTATCTCTGTCTTTGAATTCATGTGTTTAGAATATTTACATTAATGTAATTACTGATATGATTGGATTAAAATCTACCATCTTGCTGCTTTTCTATTTGTTCCAGCTCTATTTCTCTTTTTCTCTATTTCTTCTTTATTTTATATTAATGGAGTATTTTTATGATTCTATTTTATCTTCACTATTGGCTTATGTATAGTTATTTAAAATATTTTTAATGGTTGCTTTTGAGTGTATGAGATGAATTTTCAATTAATTGTTACCTTCCTTAAATAATATTATCTGTTTCTTAGGTAGTTCAAGGACCAAACTTACAACAGTATGATTTAAATTTCTCCTTCCCACCCTGGTGGCACAGTGGTTAAGTTATCCCCTAAAAAAGAATGCCATTTTTCTCACTAAAACAATGACAACAAGAAAAAACCAAACCCATTGCTGTTGAGTTGATTCCGACTCATAGTGATCCTACAGGGCAGAATAGAACTGTCCCATAGGGTTTCTAAGGCTGTAAATATTTACAGGAGCAGACTGCCACATCTTTCTTCTGTGGAGTGGTGGGTTTGAACCACCAATCTTTTGGTTAGCAGCCAAGAGCTTAACCACTGTGCCACCAGGGCCCCTATTCTTCTCATTCATAGACCTATATTATAAAATCTTGTACTCAATTAGTGTTATTACTATATTTTGAATTTTATAAAAAAAAGTTCTGGAAAATTGTTCTCTCTTGTTAAATAAAAACTTATGTAATAGACTTTATTTTGCCTTATGGTCTGTAAATCCTAAAATATTTGCTATCTGACTCTTTACAAAAACATTTGTTGACCCTTGAACTACAGCCTTCAAATAAATTCATCATAGTCCTTTAAATTCCTAGTGTGGCAGTTTCAAAGTCTGTATCATAGCTGAGTCTAGTTCTGTTGATTGATTTCACTGTTGACAATGTGTTGTTCATTTGTTTATTTATTTTTGTTTCACCAAGTGTCTCATAATTTTTGGTTGAAAGCTGGTTATCTTGTGAAGGACAGTAGAGATTTAGGTAAAAAATATTTATGCCGGGAAATGGGCATGTCTTTTCTTCAGTGGGGATCATTGAGACAATTCTGTCAGACTTTGTTGCTATGGTTACCCTCAATATACAACAGGCTTCAAATTTTTCTAGTGTTATTTTTTGCTTACAGGGGTGGACAGTTTTTCTCAGTATCTGCCCCATTCACAGCTATAAGTCTTCTCTTTGTGTCTATGCCTCAGAGAGGATATCTCTTCATGTGTTTACCCCTCCTCCAGCAGGACACTGATGCTACTTGTCCCCAGACACTTGAGAGCCTGGTAGTGTGGGGAGGAGGTAGAGTATTCTTTATTGATCTGGTTCAGCCTCAGTTTTAGGCAGGTGCTGTGTTTCTGGCTCTCGGGGATGGGGCCTCCTCAGTGACTTTCCCCTTCTCTCAGAATAGGGGATTGCTAAAGGTCTGGACTAAGATGGTTTCCTGCTCTTGCTTCAGGGGTAAAGGTTATTTTATGTTCCCTTCCCCCAGCTGCAACAGGTCTTCATTTGTGCCCTGAAGATTACAGAGTTTTTCTGCCCTTCCCCCAGTGGCATAAGGCTTTTTTTTTTTCTTTTTCTTTTTAGGGACAATAGAGTAGAAGGATTCAGGCCAGGCTTCATGCTTTTCCCACAGTAGCTCCTGCTCACCCTGTCCAGGCGTGCTCAGTTAGTGAGGGTTTCTCTGATCTCTTCCCTGCCCCCAGTCTTTCTTGTGAGCACCTGATGGAGGTTTGTGGAGAAAGGTCTGTGAATTGGTGCAATTTTGTCTTGTGTCTGCATCTTCCAGAACTTCTAAAGTCTTATGCTAGCTCACACTCTGCCTTTCCCAGTTCATTAAAAGACAAAAGGCTGCTGCAATGGATATTATTGTGGAAAGGAGAATACAAGGACTAAGGAGAGGGATGGTTATTTCTTATTACACTAAATATTTTAAAGAAAGAAAATGACGATCTTGAGTTTTAGCTTCTTAGATTAAAAGCTGATATGATTTTGCTAAAATAATTTTATATCCCTTGAAACTGCAGGGTTGATGTAGTTGAAAATAAGTTACAGTTTCTGACTTTTTGGTGGCTGAATTACAACATAAATTGAATTAACAGCTTCATCAGAATTCTTACATAAAAGTTAAGGAATTGACTGGGGAAAGTGAGACCCTAAAAATTTAAATGAGGCACATTTGGATAGATTTAGCATGCCCTAACCTCCCTCCTCCCCACCACATTGAATGTCCTTTGCTAACAGAGGCAGTGCCTCCTTCAATTTGATAAGGCAGGTCCTCTCTACTTTAAAACCAAAAACCAGACTCATTGCTGTCGAGTTGATTCCAACTCATAGTGACCCTATAAGACAGAGCAGAATTGCCCCATGGGGTTTCAAAGGCTGTAATCTTTACGGAAGCAGACTGCCACATCTTTCTCCTGTGGAGTGGCTGGTGGGCTCAAACTGATGACTTTTTGGTTAGCAGCCGAGAAGTTAACCATTGCTCCACCAAGGCTCCTTCCCTCTACCTTAGAGACACAGTAATGACTTTATCTGAAGATGTTATATCATAAGGGCATGCCAATTCTCTAACTGTACTGCCCTGACTGGTCTTCACTGCCTCTAGACTTAAATAACTAGAATTAGATCCCAGCATGCTCTAGCAGAACATGTTCAAAGTAGCACCCAGGAGGAGAAGGCTTCCTTCCAAGAAGCATCGCAAGATTCTGCTAATTTAGGATTGGATTCTAAGGACTCTCAAATTTATCAAGAGTACTTGTACCAGAAATTCTGGATTCAGTGTTCTGGTTCAGACAGATAGGGGTGATTCTATCTGTTTACCATTGTTTTAAACCTGAACTCAGTGGCGGCCCACACTAAATGAAGTTGGTATGCCAGGAATTCCTTGGTTTGACCTACAGAAAGGAATACAAAGAGTTAGGGAGAGGAGAACTTTGTAATGGATTTGTGATGTATGACCTGCTCACTCACTTTTTTGACCTTCAAGAGAGCTTTAAGAGAATACCTCCTTCACCAAAACATTGGAAAATAAATTGGTGAGAAACACTGTAATGGCTGTTCTTTTTTGGTTAGGGATGAAAGTGGGAGTTATTGCAATTCAAAAGTGCCCTCCTCCCATTTCTACAGATAGGATGAAGCCCAGGGAGGCAGAGGCCAAGTAGGCAAGAAAGACAAAAGGATGAGCTACCAGAACAGACATCAGGGACACAGAACTAATAAGAATGGATTGGCGGTGGCTAATTTTTCAAGATGTCTCTACGACTGAATAGAAGTTTACTCCTTTGTATAACCTACTTAGTCTGTATAGTCTTCCACCCCAAAATCTAGATTTGGTGAACGAAGCCCTCCCTGACTCGAGAGCTTCAAGTAACTCATGAGAAGGAGCAGGAGCGTCGGAAAGCTGCTGCCTTTTAAGTGCTGACCCTAAATTGGGAGCTCCCTATCAAGTTCTGACAGTTTCCTCGGAAGTACCCTAACTCCACGGTCCTGGGCAAGGCTCCAGCTGACACAGCCTGGAGTGAGGAACTGAGCGAGATCCAGAGCGCGCGACCATTCCCACTCGGGCTGAAGAGCTCGCTGGCCAGAATCCGCAGT